ACAAAATTTACCATCTTAACCATTTTTAAGCGAACAGTTCAGTCGTGTTAGGTATACTGTGGGGCGGGGGGTGGGGGTAGTCATTTTCCCTTTACCCTCTGAGTCTTAGCTGAGACCCCTGTAATGAAAGACAAACAAGAGAGAGAGAGAGAGAGAAAAAAAAAGACAACCCAGAAGTTTATTAACATGTATATTTCAGGTATACATGGGAGATACCCAGGGGAAAATGAATAACTCAGAGGTGGTTTTAGAAGTTAGGCTTAAATACCATCTTAATAGGGAAAGAGAAGGGGAATATAGGCCTCTCAGCGGAAAGTAAATGGTTTTTAGGAAAGATGAATAGAAGAGATGGGAGGTAGGGCGCCTGGGTGGCTCAGTTGGTTAAGCGACTGCCTTCAGCTCAGGTAATGATCCCAGGGTCCTGGGATCGAGTCCCGCATCGGGCTCCCTGCTCTACGGGGAGCCTGCTTCTCCCTCTCCCACTCCCCCTGCTTGTGTTCCCTCTGTCACTGTGTCTCTCTCTGTCAAATAAATAAATAAAATCTTTAAAAAAAAAAAAGAGAGATGGGAGGTAGGATAGTTTGTGACAGTTTAGTGTTTAACTGATGTGGGAAATAAAGACAGAAGAAAAATTATTAAATTTCCTTACTACCTATAGTCCATTGACAAGTCCTTGAAACAAGCAGAGTGACATTCCTCTAGGGACTCAGCTGCCTTGAAGTTGATACTTTGCTGAGGGCAAAAGACAATCCTAGCCGGACCCCCACCTCCCAGGATCCTGTAAGTCTACTTTAACATATAAAAATTTCTTTAGAAATTTCCTTTATCTCTAAACCCCCAAGATATGTGTTGGCAATCACCCCCAAGCATATGGCCCACCGATATACATCTGAAGGGGTTCATGACTAAGGTTTTATTAGACGGTAATAAATGACCTTTTCCCAACAATAGCTAGCCCCCTCAAGGTCCTGGAAACCTTGCTTCCAAAATTCATTAGAGACTTAAGCTATCCCTAACCCCCTCCCAACTTGAAAGTATATAATGGGCCACTCCTCATGACCCTTCTGCCCATGGGTCCTGTCCCTGTGCTTTAATAAAACCACCTTTTTGCACCAAAGACCTCTCAAGAATTCTTTCTTTGCCATCGGCTTCAAACCCTAAAGTCTGTCCTACAGCATTACTTCTAGTCTCCTCTCCTGTGACAGGAGCCAGTCTTCCCTGGTTGGTGAAGCTCCGGGGAGGGGTTCTACAACCGCTGAGCCCGTTGGAAGGATCTGCATGTAGGACAAAAGGGAGTTCACAGACATCCTCTCCTCCTATCTGCTATTTTTCAAGTGACTTCAGCTCAAAGTAATATCAAAGTGCATTTGGGGCTGGCATATGCTACTACCTTCAATATTCACATTGTTGTGCAACCATCACCAGCATCCATCTCCAGAATTCTTTCATCTTGGAAACCTGATCCTCTGTCCCTGTTTAAAAAAGCTCCCTATGGGGCACCTGGGTGGCTCAGCTGGTCTGCCTCTCGCTCAGGTCATGATCTCAGGGTCCTGGAATCAAGTCCCACATCGGGCTCCCTGCTCAGCGGGGAGTCTGCTTCTCCCTCTCCCTCTGCTGCTCCCCCTGCTTGTGCTCTCTCACTCACACACTCTCTCTCAAATAAATAAAATCTTTAAAAATAAATAATAAAAAATCTCCCTGGGGCACATGGGTGGCTCAGTCATTGGGCTTCCAACTCTTGATCTTGGCTCAGGCTGTGATCTCTGGGTCAGGGGATTGAGCCCTGCAGCGGGCCCTACAATCAGCGTGGAGTCAGCTTGAGATCCTCTCTCTTTCTCCCCCCCTCCCTCTCAAATAAATAAATAAAATCTTAAAAAAAAAAAAAAGTTCCCCATTCGCCCTTCCCCCAGCACCTGGCATCCACTCTTCTACTTTCTGTCTCTTTGAATTTGACTACTCCAGCGATGTCATATAATGAGCTTGGGTTTTTTTAAGTGTAAAATAAAATGTAATAGTTGAAAAAGATATTTTTCAAAGGTTCACTACAGCTTTTCTAGGCAGCTACATTTCCCAACATGCCTCATGGTGTGTGTGCTTGTCAGTGTGCTATTAGAAATATTTAATTATAAGATACAAAGTAAAAAGAGAAGCATATAATTACTTTCATGTTAGGCCTGATAACTTTAGAAATTACCTCAACATTTTGTTCCCTTAAAACCTTGTTGACGTTTGGAGAGAAATAACCTTCACAGAAGCTCACCAAAATGCCATCACCCCGCGTGTGAGTCATCTCACAAATTTCAGTTTCATCTCAGAAGTGAACGCTTTGCAGAGTCATGTCCCCCCACATCTAAGATGAGAAGTTTTTATGCTTTAAAATATGAGGCCAAGTCACAGGAGATACAGGATTTGATGGGTGAGGAATTCATTATTACTGCAGACAAAGAATGGGACCCGCAGAATGCAATAGGATCTCTTCTTTTAATAAAATACGTCTTTGATCTTTTTTTTTTTTTTAAGATTTTATTTATTTATTTGACAGAGAGACACAGCGAAAGAGGGAACACAAGCAGGGGGAGCGGGAGAGGGCGAAGCAGGCTTCCCGCTGAGCAGGGAGCCCAATGCAGGGCTCCATCCCAGGACCCTGGGCAGACGCTTAACGACTGAGCCACCCAGGCGCCCCACATCTTTGATCTTTAATGATCAAATACAGATTATGTGTAAATATAAACATGAACAGAATGTACATCAAAACCATTCATTCACTCATTCATTCATTAGTGCCCTGTTGCTGATGAAGCAGGAAACAAACTCCTGCCTGCCGGGAATGCTGGTTTCCTTTTGGGTCACTCCCAAGCTGGTTGGTTATTAACAGCACGAATAAAGGGCAAGGGCCAACACAGTCAGACCTTCCATACTTGCCCTCTGATGGCGAGGAATCAGTCACCAGTGCTGGGGGCCTTTAACTGCAGTCGCAGTGCCAGGAAAAGGACCGTGACCTCCCCAGTTGATCTTTCTCACTGTGGTTTTAGTCATCAGGTGATCTTTGCTGTCGCATTTGTCTGCTAACAGCTCCCCTTAGCCTCTTCCAACAAAAGTACATCAGGTGTGTTATGGGTTTCAGAAACAGAATCATGCCTATCGTGAAAATCTCACCTCCAAGTAGTGATTAGAGGAGTAATAATCACATAAATGGCGCTTTAATGATGAAGAACGGGAGTAGAAAATAGGAATCAGAAAAAAGCATGGTGGAGATGCCGGGGATCGAACCCGGGGCCTCATACATGCAAAGCATGCGCTCTACCACTGAGCTACATCCCCCTCCCCTTTTGCCTTGCTTTCTGAAATTCTCTGCTATACTCTATACTTAAGATTTTTTTTTCTTGTTTTCCTAAGTTAAATTTTGTATAATTAAATGTGTGTTGGAGTTTAGCATAAGCAAACCAGAATAAATATTCCCAAATAGGCCCATTCTGTATAGCCCTGCACCTGAAATTCTAGCTGATATCAGGACTAAGGAACAAAGGGAAATTGACCTATTTTTGAATGTTGCTCATCACGGAAAAGAAGGGAAGGAAAATGAGTTTCTTTCCAATAAATAAGGGTGTTGCCCTGATTACACCACTATCCAGAAATGTCTGGCTCCCTGTCCCTTAAAACCATTCCAGGGAGAAATAGGTGATGGGCAGGGACTAAGGAGCGCACCTGCCGTGATGCGACCGGGTGACGTATGGAAGTGTTGAATCACTACATTGTACACCTGATACTAACGTAACACTGTATGTTAACTATACTGAAATTAAAAGACTTAATAAGAAGTATCCAGTCTTCAGTAAGTTTGAGGTTTGCAGACCTGCCCCCCTCCCAGAGAACTCTTCCAAATATAAAAATAAGCAAATTAAAAAGAAACAGATCCAGCTCCAGAATCATGGCTTTGAGGGAGGAATCGCTTTGCATAGCCCACTGAAAAGAACCATTTTTAACTGTCACTTAGCACAGCTGTGCAGAGTGCTTATGAAGCACCGCAGGGGAGAGAACATGTCTACGTCACATCCTCCAAGTCCTCAGGGGGTCACTCAGGGGTGAAGGAACGGTTGAAGGCAAGGAGAGGGCAGAAAACGGGGGCTTCACCTCTTTCCACCAGCGCTTGAGCTTTCCTGGCGGGAAACAGGCACTTACTCTGATGGGGAGAACACACCCCGAACTGTCCTGCCACCTTGGTCCAGTCAGCTCCCTTACGGCCGGCTGATGCCTGACACCCTCCTCGGGTAAAGGCCTAACTGAGCTGGAGCCCAGGACACCAGACCAGGAGCTGTGATTTCATATCCTCACCTCCCTGGACGTCATCCATAAAATGGAGATCTGAGTAGTGCCTACTCCCTGGGGTGGGTGCGGCCCTTGAGCAGCTATGCGCAGAACTTTTAGAACAGCGCCTGCTACAAGGTCTGGCCAGAGTGTGGGTTCTCAGGATGGTAAATGCCATTGTTATTATGTGAACTCTGGTGGGGAGAGGCCTTGGCCATAGGTGACATTTTGGACATGCTTTGGTAACAAGCTAAGGGATTGTGTTCGGTTCAGCAGATGCCCCTGTTTTCTCTCTTGCCACACTACTCTGCTCAAAACAAACCCGATTGTGTTTCCTCTCTGCATAAAACCCTAAAGTCAAATCCAAACTCCTTAGTCTGGCCTTTAAGGCCCTCTGATCCACTTCTCTGACCTCATCGCTTCCTTCTCTCCCCCTCCCGTGGGCACACCTGCCTCCTTGCTGTTCCGCAGGCACGACCCCTTCTTTGCACCTCAGGGCCTTTGCACTTGCCCTTTCCTCTGCCAGCAGGGGTGCTCCCCAGATCTTCTGGTGAGTGGCTCCTTCTCATTGTCCAGGTCTTCAGCAGGACCTTCCTGGACACCTCACTAATGGGGCCTGCCCATTCCACACACTCCCTAGTACACCCTCCCATTTGTTTTGTTTTGTTTTCACAGCATTTATCACTCTGGGAGACTGTTTTTATAGCATTTGTTTATTGTCTGTGTCAGTAGGGCAGAAGTCGGGCCACTCCGGTTCCTGCTACAGCCCAGCGCCTAGAACAGTGCCTGGCACCTAGTAAGTATTCGGTAAATATTTGCAGAATGAATGTGGGGATGTGGGGAGAACCCAGACAAACAAATGAAAGAGTAGGAGCCTGGGAAGGCTGATGGCTACTCAGGAAGGAGTCTGCAACGGAGTTAAGACAAGAAGACGTTTCAGTGCAGCGTCCCCCTACCTCCTGCCTGAAACCCATAAACCTTTTTTTAAGGGCCAGCCTGGGCCCCTAGCGAGATACAAGAGGATGGAATTATTTGCGACAGAAGGAGCATTTCCTGGCCTTGGAAGTTGGCAGTCTTGTTCGGGGACAGCACCGTCCAAACCGAGCCCTTTGCAGCCGCGCTGTGGGCATGCAGGGCATGGAAATACCGCGGCAGGGCGGAGAACTTGGTCTTCTTTCTCCTAACCATGTGACACTAGGGAGCTGGACAGTGACTGCAGCTGGGTCCTCGATGGGCGCCCGTCAGACCGAATCTCGACGGCTAGTCAGGTTGATTTTCCCAGAGTAAGGAGTTTCTGCAAAAGTGGAAGAATTTAGTTTGGGAGGAAGATGGAAAAAATATGAAGAGAGGATAAAAAGACTCCGTGGCCTCCCCGTCGGGGAATCGAACCCCGGTCTCCCGCGTGACAGGCGGGGATACTCACCACTATACTAACGAGGACCGGCTCTGTCAGCGCGCCTTCAGGTGCTCTTTTTAAGGTACATTCAAATTCCGCTGAGTATCAATACACATCAAAGGGTGCCATGTTTTCTTCTTTTTTCTTCAAAACTGAAGAACAAAAGTCCCCCTCGATTTAACTCCGTCTTAGGTTGTAGAGATACCGCTCCGCCCTTAATTCAGTCGCGAGGATTCGGGGAACAGAAATTAATAAACTGGAAGCCAAAATTAACGAGCAGGCATCAGCAAACATGTAACAGAGATTAGCACACGTTTACGAAATAGGAGCAAAGGAGTCAGGAAAAAACAGCCTTCCTGGAATTCCCCAGATCGCAAGGAGGTTTTCCTCCGCGCCGGTTTCCCATGGATACTGCTCGGAGCTTTTTTAAATAAACTGAAACCCGTTAACTGATTGGAAAGAATTAACGCCGTCTCTTTTCTCTTCGTCTCTTCATGTGTCGTTTTTTAAACCCCTTTTCACTTGGGAAAAAAACGGAGCTGCCGAAACCCGGGATCGAACCAGGGACCTTTAGATCTTCAGTCTAACGCTCTCCCAACTGAGCTATTTCGGCTGCTGGTGTCGCTGCGCTCCGCTCCGGTCCTCCTGGTCGCGCTGCCAGCCCTGGGTGCTCCGCCTGGGGATCGATGCGGGGAGTGCAGGACCAGCAGGGACCCATGCCTGCCAGGCTCGCAGGCATCTACTCCTTCTCGTCCTTCAAGGTCACCGCCTCCGAGACGACCTCCCCGATCACGCCTCCCAGCACGACCCCAGCCCCTTACTGCTTACTGTTAGCTTAGATATTGTTTTTCCTTGTCCATTCTCTGTCTGCCCAGTTAAAATGACAGACCCCTGAGGGTCACTTCTGTATCCTTCAAGGTCTAGAACAGTGCCTGGCACGTAGTAGGTGCTTAATAAATATCTTTTGAATTAATGAACAAATGAAGGGATGAACGAACGGTAGGTACCTGGCTCGGAACTCCACTTTCTCAAGCTCCCTTCTTTGTGATAGGAACAAGGTCACCCTCTGGGTGCAACTCCCCAAGCAGCCTAAGGTGTGACAGGGATGCTGACCAGCCAAAGCGTATGGAGGACACATTGGCCGGATTGTGACTTTCCTCGGGGCAGTGAGTGACTCGGATCCGCCTCCAAGCATGGCCGCCGTACCTGTGGCTCCTGCTCAGCTTCAAGGCATGAAGAAATCAAAAGGTTGTCGTCCAGGTTTGGGGCTCTCTGCTTCCCCTCCTTTTGCGAAATGGAAGGGGAGTGATGTCTGGGAGAGGATGTGGAGTGGGGAGGCTTCATGATGAAGTCATTTAATAAGTGTTTTTGCTAAGCACCTAATGACCCCCTGGCCCAGTCACAAATACACTAACCAGATATTCGGTATAATAACAATGCTAAGAAGCAAAATAAACCAAGGTTGTTTGTACCTAGGCTTTTCCTTTTGCATCCTCTCCCTAAAGGCAAAATTTCATGCATGGGATCATCAAGTCAGATGGTGGAATGTACAGCTTTCCAGGCGCTTTCTGAATGGGCTGAAGCCATTTACACTCCCATCCACCCCTTCCATTCCTTCCTTCCCCAAACGAGTCTTGATCTTTTTAAAGTATTTTTTTTAATTGAGGTGAAATTCACAAAATATAAAAATAACCATTTCAAAGTAAACAATTTGGTAGCATTTAGTACATTGACAATGCTGTGCACCCCCTACCTCTGTAGTTCTTTAAAAACCATTTAAGTGTATCATTTTGGTAAAAATCGAATAAGGAATAAAGGAAGGAAAGAAGAGAAAAAGGAAGGAAGGAAGGAAAGGAGGGAGAGAGGGAGGGAGAAAAATAAAATTCAAACAGTGCAAACAGATACAGAATGGAAGGTGAGAGTGGTTCCCACCAAAGCCAGTCCTACCTTCCAGAGGTAACCAGTGTCCCAAGAAGACTGTGATTGATGCAGCCTTGGGCAAGATTCGGAGCTGCTCTCTGCGTGCACTTCCTCACCTGCCTGACCTGACCAGACAGCCCCTGCCGTTATCACAGGAGTGCACCCCTGTGCTTGTCAACGCCCCCCGGTGATGCCCGTCAGAATTAGAAGTAATAACGCACTCACAATATACACATATTTTATACGTAAGAAGGAACCCATTGAGTACGCTGTAGCATGCTCCCGTAACGCCTAAGAATGCCAGGAAAACCTGTTTTACTGTTAAAACGATTGACCAGCCTCCCCGTCGGGGAATCGAACCCCGGTCTCCCGCGTGACAGGCGGGGATACTCACCACTATACTAACGAGGATGAGCCGTGCTGAGCATTCTCTGGATCAATTCATATAGACATGGTGCTGTCCTGCCACTGCACCTGTCCACTCCCCTGGGGTTTTTACGGATGAAGTCCCCGGCGCCCGTGGCCGATGGGCTTTCCTGGGCGCAAAGAGGCCTCTCGGAATCAATGAGACACTGAACCTCTGCGGAGGAAGAAACATGCAAAAGGGACGAAGATGCGGCTGCCGATATCCTCACTCCGAGGAAAAAAGAATTCACAGCCAGGGGATGTAGCTCAGTGGTAGAGCGCATGCTTTGCATGTATGAGGCCCCGGGTTCAATCCCCGGCATCTCCACTCTTCACTTTTTTGTTGTTGTTGCTGTTTAAAATCAGTCACACCACTGGAGGGCAAAGCAGGGAGGGGGACCCAGAGGCTACCAATTAGTGGGTCTGAGAAATAAGCTCCCATGGACATGGCAGCGCTAGGAAACCTCCCCATCCTGCTCCCATCTGCGGATGCTCAGGTAACTCCCTCCCCCTTGGGGATTCCGGTTGAACAGAGGTGGGCCCAGGAATCTGCGTTTTTATACTCCTAGTTATTCTAGCTGTCAGGCAGTGATTTCTTTTTTCTTTTCTCCTTTAAATTTTAGTTAACATACAGTGCAATACTGGTTTCAGAAGAATTCAGTGATTCATCACTTACATTTAACGCCCAACGCTCATCATAACACGGGCCCTCCTTAAAGCCCATCACCCATCTACCCCATCCCCTACCCACCTTCCTCCATCAACCGTTTGTTCTGTTAAGAGAATCTTCTGGTTTGTTTCCCTCTCTCCTCCTCCCACCCCCTTCCCATATGTTCAACTGTTTCCTTTCTTAAATTCCACAGATGAGTGAGATCATATGGTATTTGTCTTTCTCTGACTTAGTTCACTTAACATAATACTCTCTAGCTCCATCCATGTCATTGCAAATGGCAAGATTCACTTTTTGGTGGCTGAGTAATATTCCACTGTACATATATACATCTTCTTTATCCATTCCTCAGCCGGTGGACATTTGCTGGATTGTGGGGTAGTTCTGTTTTGAACTTTTGAGGACCCTCCATACTGTTCTCCAGACTGGCTGCACCAATTTGCACTCTCACCAACAGTGCAGGAAGGTTCCCCTTTCTCTGCATCCTTGCCAACCCCTGTTGTTTCTTCTGTTAATTTTAGCCATTCTGACAGGTGTGAGGTGATTATCTCATTGTGGTTTTGTGTTTCCCCAATGAGGAGTGATGTTGAGCATCTTGTCATGTGTCTGTTAGTCATCTGGATGTCTTTGGAAAAGTGTCTACTCAGATCCTCTGCCCATTTCTTAACTGGATTTAAGGCAGTGATTTCTAAGGAGGATTTTGCAACTGGCCGTGTATTCAGTGAGTCCTAAGCACCTAATGCTGGTAATGTGCATGCACTGAACACCTACTGTGTGCCCAGGTACAGTGCTAATTAAGTACCCTGGTATTCTCAGATAAGACAAGCAAAGTTTGACTTCCAGAGACTAGCATTCCACGAGTAGTGGTAAGTTTTGCCAACACAGTAACACTGATGGGCTGGAAACTGAAGGGGGAGCGTGTGGGCGCTGCGGTGCATGAGCTGCCAGGGAGGCCTGTCTGCAGAAGCAGAGGAAATGCCAGGTGCTAAGGCCTGAAGCTGGGAGGGGAGGGGGAGGGGCGCTCTGTGTTGAAGGTACAGAAAGCAAGCTCTGTGCCCGGAGTTTGGTGAATGAGGGTATGAGGGCTTGAATTCTATCATCAAAGATTCCAGAAGGCCTGATGTGAAATGACACGATCAGATGCAGGTGTCACACGGTTCGCTCCGGCTGCCATGTGGAGAACACACCATAGGCCGGCAGGTGGACGCTGGGAGACCAGCCAGGAAGTCACCACCATGGCCAGGCAGAAGCTGCTGGAGGTCTGCTGGGCAGGGGCTGGGAATCTGAGATCCTGGGTGTGGAGCTGGGGAGCATGAGGGGGCTCTGGACATATTCTGGGGTAGGGCCCACAAAACTTGCAGATGGCTTGAATGTGGGGAGAGTAGGGGATACCTTCTGGTTTGGGGGTACACTGGGATTAGTGGCCAGTCTGTGGAGAAAGTGAGTAATTTTGGAATGTTAAACAGGTACCTCTGTTGTTTTATTTACATATTTGCATTAATGGACTTTACGCATTTATACTATAATATCAGAACAAACTGATTTAGGACAAACACCTGGGTGAGGGAGACGGCATCAAGCCCTACAGGCCCGGCGGACAGCTGGGCGAGCATCCACCCAGGCCGGTTTCCATACATGCCTGTGGGGGGCGGGCGGTGTCCCCCAGACCATGCCCACTCAGAGATCTGCTAGACTTGCACACCGTTGTTCTGACAGCTGAGATTTATTACAGCGACATGCGTGGCAAGGGAGCACCGCCCCCGCTGGGGAGGGGATGCAGAGGAAGGGCCCGGAGGCACCGTCCTGCTCGCCGCCGCTTCGTTCTCCAGCCCTGCTGCTCCGCGAGGGACTAATGTCGTCCCCAGAGCGGCATGTGAGGTGAAACCATTCTCCGCCACATAATAAATAGTTATAAAAAAGCCCCCCAGGGTCCGACTGCCCAGGGCAGCAGCAAGCTGTGTCCAGATGTCTCGTATCCAAGATGAGCGAGGCTTCCAGAGGCCTGACCCACCTCCTGGGAGCGGTGCACAGACCAGGATGACCAGGCTAGAGAGCGGCCACTGCCAGCCCCCGTGGCTCCCCAGACCAGCCCCCGCCTTGCAGCTAGGCCTCAGGTCAGCGGTCAGAGGTGGGGGGCCAGGCTTTCTCGACGTCGGCGTGCGTGGCCTGCGGAAGCCACTGGCGGTACTCAGCCAGCAGGTCTACGGGGGGCAGGACGGATGACAGTCAGAGTGGCTCTGGACCCGGCTGCCCGCTACAGGGCAGATCCGCCCACCGACCCTCGAATGCCTCGGTGGGTCCCACCCTGTCCACTCGCAGCCCCTTGGCCACACTCACATTTGGGGTTTTTCTTCCAAGCAGCTAGCAAGGCCTCTCGGCAGTTGGCTCGCTCAGCAACAAGGGCTCTCAGGAGACTCTCCGTCCTGGGCTGCAGCCTGTGGGTGGGGACGCAGGCTGTAGGGCATCACTGTGTCCAGAAGCTGTGCGAAGGGGCGGGTACCACTGCCAGGGCAGCCTTACCGAGGATGGCCAACGGTCTGCCTCTGTCATGCTGGGCGTGTTGGCCAAAGAGAAGGATCTAGACTCCATCACCCCTCCAACCTCATCTCCTCTCCCACTTGAATCTTTGCCGCCTCTGATCCGCCACCCTGGCCTTCTTCATGGTCCTTGAGTACTCCCACCCAGGCTGCTACTGTACATGCTGCTCATCCCACCTAGAACCTTCCTCCATGTTTCTGCTTACAGCCTTACCCCCTCCCCATCTGCTTGGTCAGACTCCCCTGACCAAACCTACTCCACCAGATGTCCTGCTCTGTCCCTTTGTAGCCCAGGCCCCACATGCCATCTGTCCTAGTTACATTCTCTCTGGTGTTAGCTTCCACAGGGACGGGGCTGTGCTCGCGTCCTAGCACGAGGACATGCCTGGCACAGAGCAGGTGCTCCAGACTGCCTGCTGGGTGAATGACTTGATCGGCGGGGGGCACCTGGCCCCGTGCCCCCACCCCGAGTCCCAGGGAATGCTGGTGCACGTGCACGCCTGCCTGCCTGCTCTTGTCAAGCCCCCTGCACCATCTAGGATGCTGCCTTAGGAAGGGTGAGGTGTCTTCTTGGAGCTGGGCCATGGGTAGAAAGAAAGCAAAAGGGAGGGGCAGGGATAAGGAGGAGGAGAAGGTTACTGGGATGGGGGGGAGGGGGTCTGTGCTCAGCTGGCAGGCAGCCCCCAGGGCTTCTGGTACAGGATGCCTCCTGCTGAAACCTGGAACTCAAAACGGGGCTGACCAGGATCTCCCCAAAACCTCAGAATGTGACCTTATTTGGAAAGAGGATCTTTGCAGATGCAATTACTTAGAGGCTCATACTGGATTGGGGTGAGCCCTACATCCGGTGACTGGTGTCCTTATAAGAAGAGAAAACCAAGAGACAGGGAGACACAGCCTCCTGAACACAGAGGCAGACATTGGAAGGACGTGGTCACAAGCCAAGGAATGCCTGGATGCACCAGGAGCTGGAAGAGGCAGAAAGGATCCTCCCCTAGAGCATGCAGAGGAAGCACAGCCCTGCTGACACCCTGACTTCCAACTTCTGGCCTCCAGGGCTGTGAGAATAAATTCTCACACTAATACGGCCCCCTTCCCCACCATCCGCCACCCTTGCTCCGGGGGGGAAGCTTCTACCTGGCCCATGTCTTCAGCATTGTGCTAGGGCTGGACAGCAAACAGCCCCGGTAGGAGGCCAGCTTGTGGAAGACCTGAGGAGAGACCACAGGACGGGGTGAGGGGTCCTGGCTCACCTTCTGCGCACGGCAGCAGGCAAGGGGCCGGGGGAGCTGCTGGGCTGCCTACCTGCCCTTCCAGCAGAACCCAGGCGAAGTGCTTGTAACAGTCAATGCCCTCCGGAAAATCCACCTGCACTGCAGGGAGTGGCCAGCCGACACGATCTGGAGGGCAAGAGCCCATAAGCGAGGGTCTGGGCTGGGTCCCCACAGGCCCCTAGTCCTGTCCCTGGGCCCCGGGTCCCACCCAGCAAAGAGGCAGAAGGCCTGAGGTGACACGGCCTGTGACCTGCATTTCCAGGGCCCATGGCGTGCGACCATGTGTCTGCTGGCGCCCAAGGCTGGCAGGAAGTCACCCTGACTCACAGAACATGCTGGCCCGGTGACAGATTACCCGCCCCTTCTCCGGGCAGTAGGCGGGGGGCGGCTCCTCCAAGGGCTTGTCGAACTGGCAGTAAGAAGGCAGCAGGACCGGGATCCACTGGACCTCCACGGCTGAAACGCCTGGGAACCAGGAAGAGAAGGGCCGGGGGTCGCCACGGACACCGCTGCACGGGAGGGGCGCCCAGGTTCTCCCCCCACAGGGTCCTGGTGACACAGCTCACGGAGCCGCAGTGGGTCAGGCGAGGGGCCGGCCACCAGCCTGGCTACCTTTCATGTACATCTTGGTGGTCTCTACAATTTCCTGGTAGACCACAAACTCAGGGAGCTCTTTGAAAAGGACGGAACTGGGGTGGATGAAGACGGGGTCATCAAGGAGAGGGGTCTGCCGAGAGAAGGAGAGTATGAGTCTAGGAGAGGTGCAAACACCAGTGAGATTAACCCACGCGAATTCCATTAGGCACTCAGCCTGAAGGCGGGAGAGCGTGTGGTCTGGACGCGGACACGCACGTGGGGCGGATCTGTACGCCGAGCAGCACTGAGCCCTGCGGCCGCCGTGCTGACCCAGGCGGCCAGGGATGACCCTGAACGACGTGGTGTCACGTGAGAGAAGCCACACACAAACCACTAACGTGAAACGTCCAGAACAGACAAATCCATAGAGACAGAAAGCAGATTCACGGGGTGGGGAGATGAGCAGGAAACGGGGAGCCACTGCTAACGGGCACTGTCATCTTTTGGGGGAGGAAGAAGATGCTCTGAAGCTGACTGCGGTTGTGGCCGCACAGCTCTGTGGAGACGGAAAACCACTGAACCGCACACCTTAAAATGGGGAATTGTAGCGTGTATGATTTCCCTCTCAAATAAGCAAAAACAAAATTGGGGGCAAAGCTAAGACCCAAAGGAAGATGTGACCCCACCTCACACCCCACCCTGATCCTTGGTGGGGACTCTCCCAGAGGCTGCAGGGACTCATGTGTGAGGAGGAGGGGGCCCCCAGCAGCCCCTCGCCAGGAGGGCTGAGTGCCCAGGCTGGCAGGACGCCAGACAGATGGGGAGGGCGGGGTGGCAGGGAGCCTGGCGCAGCGCCCGGGGCCAACCTTGTAGGCATTCTTCCACTTGTCGTCCAGCAGGTCCTCGCTCTGTACCCTACGGGCCAGGTGGTCGCCCAGGCCGGCCACCACGATCTGCCGCAGGTAGGTCACCTGGCTCTCAGATGGAGGCTGCATCTTGGGGTCCATGAAGAGCCCGGCCTCGGGGCACACGGTATTGACTGCGGGGAGAGCCAGGTGTGAGGACAGCGGAGCCCGGGGCTACCTCTGCCCTGACCTTCTGGAAGGCCTCACACCACTCAACGTGGAGCTCCAGACGTGGTTGCCTGCTCACTTTGGCTCCTCTCTACCGAGGCTGCCAGGGGAGGCGAAGCCCTCAGCAGGGCACAGCTAGCTGCCTGCCCCAAATCCACGTCCTTCTCTCCCTTAGGAAAAAACCCCAATTCCTTGGCGGGCAGCAGAGGGAGCTGCTAAGGGAGAACCTGTTGGGCCCGCATGGGACTTCCCCCTTGACCTGAGTGCAAGAGCATGTGTGCCCAGAAGGGACCCGATGAGCGGGTCATCCCCGAGTGTGCACAGCAAGGCAAGACCATCGCCTCTGGAGCTCCTGCAGGCACTGCTGAGCCAGGCCTGAGATCAGGTGGGGCCTCACCCTTCTGCAGGGGGGAGGAGGGGGAGGAGGGTCTGAAGCTGTGGGGACACCTTGGAAGGGGAGAAAGGAGATGGGGGCTTTGAGCCCTGCAGCTCAGAGGGGGACACAGCAGGGAGAAGAACAAGAGGCTCAGGACCTGGAAGGAAGATTGTTTCTAAGATTCGCTATATAAACGTCCTCTGTATTTTCTACAAAATCTTTGGCAAAACATATGTTGTTCAACGTAAAGAAAAAAAAAAGGAAAGAAAGAGAAAGGAAGCAGGCCCAAGGACAGAACGCAGAAGACCAGCAGATTCCAATGTCCGCCGGAGGCCCTGCCTCCCACACCTAGCTTCCCTTAGGTCTGGTCTCCACCGGCTCAGAAAGTGGGGGACCGCACTGTCATCTGCTCCCTGACTCCCAAAAGGGAGTCCACTTGGTGCAAGGGGGGAAGCCCAGGATGAGACTATGGGGGGCCCAGGGGCTCCTGGGAAGATGTGGCGAGCAGCAGGTCCAGGCCTGTCCTGGGGACAGAGGGTGACGAAGAGGGATGTTACTAAGGAAAAGAGCAAACTGAGGAACAGCCTCAGGGGAGAGAGTGTGCACCTTACCCCTCCCTGTGGAGGTGTCCAAGAAGGGGTCAGGACTGATTTTGGGGTTATACTAAGTCTCAGTAAGTAGGTGAATTTGTAAATGTGGAATCTGTGGATAATGGGGATCAGTGGTATGTGGTTAATGCTGCTCAAAACAACTTTAATCATTAAAATAGTCAAGTTCTCTGGTGGGTGCTGCCCGAGATGGGGGGACCTGGGGAGTCCCCAGAGGCTGACGCGGTGGACGGTTACCTGCAGCGGTCAGCTGGCCCCGCAGGCGCCGGGTCTCTAACAGGGCCTTGTACCGAAGCCCGTTGGCCTCGCAGAACTGGGGTGAGCAGCCAGAGTACTCGCAGGCTCCCACAGCACCTGCGGAGGAGGGGTGCACTCGCTTGTTGCCCCGCCCTAGCCCTGCCTGACCTCCGCCACCCCCCCACGCCGCAGGGGGCACGCACCCAGCAGCACCATGATGTCTCCGAGTTTCAGAGAGGCGCCTTGCCCCGCCCAGATCCTCTTCATCTGGGCCACCCGGGCCCGCTTGTCCTTCAGCTTGGCGAGCTCCTCGTCGCTGGCCGCAGGTCTGCAAACACACACACACATACCACCCGGGCTGCCGGCCTGGCCGCCCTCAGGGCAGAGAAAATGCCTGGGGGAGCCACCGACTAAGACGGTTAAGGTCCTGGGCTCAAAAGGCACTACCTGCAGCCCAGGAGATTACAAATGTGCGTGTCTCCTAAGCCGACCATTCCACGTCTAGAGACTGATAACGAAGAAAGACTCCAGCAACCGCAGAATCATCACATGTGGCTGCACCGCTTTTGTGACAACAAAAAACCCTGAATGCCGCCATTACGTCCACCGAGGGCAGCCTGGGTAAGTGAATCACGGTTCCCCAACCCGTAAAGAAGGGCTGACACCGGGACTAAGGTATGCGTCAGGCACGGTTCGGAGTCCTTAGTTTGGTTAACTACTTTAACCCTGACAACAGCTCCATTGTTATTAACGTCTCACCCCCATTTCCCAGATGGGAAAGATGAGGCGCAGAGAGGTGAAGTCGCCACCCTGAAGCCACAGAGCCCGGAGTGGCAGAGGGAGATCTGAGCCCAGGTGGTGTGGGCCAGAGCCTGGGCTCCTAGCCATTACACGCTCGGCGGGCTCCAGAAATGAAGACAGAGCTCTGCAGGGATCACGTCGCTGCTGGGCTCGGGGAGGACGGGCACTAGCATGAGGCCACCGGACGTGCCAGTTATCCCCCCGGAGGCCGGGCTCCCGGTCACCGCTCAGCGCGGCAGCCCCCGCCAGCCTGAGCGGGGCCCCCAGTGCTCACCTGTCCAGCTCCTCGAACAGCTCGCGGACCGTCACGGCGGCCACAATGGTGACGGCGTAAGGCAGGCAGCCGTGCTGCTGGCTCAGTGCCAGCATCTTGGCGTAGCGCGGCGCCACGGGGAACGTGGCCATGGTCCTGCCCAGTGCGGTGATGGGGCAGCTCAGCCGGGACCTCTGCAGCTGCTTCACGCTGGACGACAGGGGTGTGTGGTGGGGGGATGTCGCAGCTAAGCGGCCCTGGTGTTCAGGGCAGCTCAGGAGGGAGAGGGCCGAGAACGGGCTGGGAGCCGGGCTCTCGGCACCCCCTACCCCACCCCCCACCTACCTCTCTGTTTTCTGGGGTGCCTCCAGGGCACCCAGCGCGACCAACAGCTCCTCGGCGGCAATGAGGGCCTCCACGGAGGGAGGGGTTGGAAAGGGGAAGTTGATGACCTGGGCAGGGGGAGACGTGGCAGGGACAGCGTGAACGCAGAGAAGCAGCGACCACAAGGGGCAGCATGGCAGGCCTAGCAGGAGGACAGTGCTCCTGCACCTGTCCTGAGACCACTCACAGCCCCAGGCACTCTCCACGTCTGTGAGCCTGGGGAAGCCCAAATGTCCCCTTCCTTCCTTTATTCACACGATCTGCGTACTCAAAAGCACGTACTGAGCGCCTAACGTGTGGCACGGCTGTTCTTGGCCACAGAGACCAAGAAAGCACACGACAAGGGCTCTGCCTCAGCCGGAAGGGAGTGAGCACGGAGACAGACAGGCGCACGTGCCCGCACAAGAACATGGTGAGGGGCAGAGGGACCGGGCTCAGGGACAGTGGCACCTGAGAAACTCATCTAGTAAATCCGCATACAGCCGTGTTCACAGCCGCTCTGTCCCTAACGGCCGGGGGTGCAGACAACCCAGATGCCCATCGACAGATGAACGGCTACACAGAAGGTGGCCCGGCTTGGGCCCACGATGGAGCATGACTCAGTCGGAAAGGACTGAAGTACTGACACATGCCACAACGGGGGTGACCCCTGAAAACATTTACAGGAATGATTCCGTTTATATGAAATGTCCAAAACAGACGGAGCCATAGAAACTTTGGGGTTGGGGAGGAAGGAACGGGAATGACTAATAATGGGCCCAGGGTCTCGTCTCGCTCTGCCTGCACCACCCCCTGGGAGCAGCAGAGAGGCGGGGGACCCCTGGATGGGGCAACGTGAGGATGCTGCTTCGTCAGGCAGAGGACTGTGTCAACAGAACATTCTGTGCGCCCCAGGACGACGACAGCCCTCTGTGCCGTGGGCAGGCCCTCTGCGTGCTGGAGGGGTGTGGCCCTGGGGAAGTAGGGGGTCTCGGGGGGTGGGAGACCCCGGAGGCATGTGCTGACGCGGTGTCCCGCACGAGAGCACCAGGCGGCTGGGCAGGCACTGCTGGGCTCAGCCCCGGGGTTCCCTGCCTGTGCCGGGGTGGGGGGGCATGTAGACACAGTACATACACTGGGAGCTCAGTGGGGTGCGGGCAGGGCTGGGGCCGCCGCTGACCTTTTCAATGTTGAGTGCTTTCATCTGAAGGATCAGGTCTTCAACAGGCCTCCGGGTGATTTCAGGAGGAGGAAACCGCTCAAAGTCACCGAAAACCGCAGATGAATAGAGCCTGGGCCGGGACAGGCACCAACAATAACAGAATTATTGTAGAAATAAATAAAAGGGGAACTCAGCAAGCCACCCAGCAGTGGGTCTCCACTCGGCCACTGAGGAGGCCCGCAGGTACGCTGCCCCTACCGCGTGTTCCTCTCCCGCGGCTGGGGCTCAGCAGCAGGTGCACCCCAAGGGCAGGGAGGATGTTTCAGCCGCCACGTGGGGGATGGAGAGCAGCGCCTCGCGTGCAGTCCCTGGCAAACAGCAACCACCGTCGGTTCTCACTAGGTTTTTGTGCACGATTTCTCAATTTCCTTTCTTCATCATTTAAAACAATTTCAACAGGGGCGCCTGGGTGGCTCAGTCGTTAAGTGTTTGCCTTCGGCTCAGGTCATGACCCCAGGGTCCTGGGATCGAGCCCCGCATTGGGCTCCCTGCTCCGCGGGAAGCCTGCTTCTCCCTCTCCCACTCCCCCTGCTTGTGTTCCCTCTCTCACCGTGTCTCTCTCTGTCAAATAAATA